CATGGAAGACAGGCAGCCGAGCTCAGGAACATTCCAGGGTGATGGTGTGAGGCCTATTCTGCACGGATGCAGAAAACAGGCCTCCTTGTTCACATCTGAACCATGAAACTCTGTATCCTTTGGTCAGAGATTAGGTGCATTCTGCTTGAAAGGCAGGGGAATCTGCAAATTAGGCTGCCATCTTCCAAAGGTCAAGAACTGTTTCTTCCTATTAGGGAATCTGTCCATGCAGGGCTGGCTCCAGGTTTTGGAGGACACTTGGCCAAGGCACCCTCCATGCCCCCTTCCCTCAGTCAGCCTTCTCACTGCCATTGCCCTCGGCTGCTCTTGCTCCTCAGACTCCTTCTCATCAGTGCTATTACCCAGAATCACAGCATAGGAGAGTTGCAAGGGGCCAAGAAGCCAACTTCCAGCTGAGTGCAGGACCTCAAGTTAAGCCATCCCTCTCAGATGGCTGTCCAGCTGCATCTTGAATGCCTCTAGCAGGGGACAGCCCATAACCTCCCTCAGCTAGGGAGCTCTAGAGAACCTCCCTAGACAGAGCTGTGCCAGAGAGCATCTCCTATGCCTTCTCCTCACCACCAATGCTGCCTGGTCCACAGAGAAAGGAGTGAAAACATCAGGCTGCAAGTGTGAAGAGGAGCCACTCCAGGGGTTTCTTGTCAGTGGGACCCACCCACGGTGTTGTCTTCTTAGTAGGTGCCCAACCATGCAGACTCTTGACACTGGCCCTGACTACTTGTACATATGATCCCCAAAACTACCTGCACCAGTGCTTCTGAAGGCAACCACAGCAATAGGTAGAAACACTCATTTCTGGAGCAGGACAGGTCACAACTGAGCTCCCTTCTGCAATTAAGCAAGAGCTGACCTGCTCCTTCTGGAAACAAGCACTTCTGCTCTTTCTGGCTTCTCGTTCAAGCCGTTCAGGAACCACTAGCTTCTTCACCATACAGCTGCATCATGGAGACTGCCCATGATCTCTCCATTAAACTCCCAAGAAGTTCTTCTCTCTTTAGCATTATCCTGTCATCTTCCATCCCATCCCTCGTTGCCATATTTGAAAACTGAATGGAAGGACGGCTCCAGGACACACACACACACCCAACTCCTACAACCATTTTAGGATGAGAAAATCCAGAGCCAAAAGAGTCCTGGAAGCTGATACAAACCACTGAGTTTTCTGGTAGTTTTCTAACCTAATTGATTGGCTGAGTATTTATGCCACTATTCATAATACTCCTTCACATTACTGAGGCTATTAATAATCATTTATTATTAAAAATAATTAAAAAGTACTTTGTTTGGAGTGCTTTAAACTTTTACCTCAATTACTTTTCCAGCCTGCTACCCTTCTTGCAGCATTTGGATGGGTTTTTTCTGTTTTTTTGCTTTGCTTTGCTTTGCTTTGCTTTTTGTTTTGTTTTGGTTTCAAAGAGGAATGACTGCTTCTCCTCTGCCCCATTCCTAATAATTGTAGATAACAGACCACAAGAAAGAGCCCATCAAAATCTACATTCATTCTTTTCTTTACGGCAGCGTCTACGGCAGGTTTCTGGACTCCTGACATCGTCAAAAAGTGCAGGCCATAAATCCACACAGACAATTCTTTGTTGCCAAATAAAGTGGATGCTGAGTGAAACACTGGCTAGACCTTTCCAGCAAGCGGCACAGTGCCTGGCTGGGGACACTGGATGCTTTTGTCTGCAATGATGTCTCCTCACTGCTGCTTGGTTAGAAGCAACACACACTTAGCGGAAAGCCAGCAAGCAAGAACTCTCCTTATTTCTGGTGGGCAAGGTCTCATCGATGCCCATCCAAATGTCCATGCACAGTCCCTGGAGAAAATAGCCACAAAAACAGCTTGTTCTACTAGCAGCACTGGTGAGCACATACTGAGCTACAAGCACACCCATCACATGCCTAAACTCATGTGCCTATTTTCTGCTCTCTGGTTGGAATCCAGAAGTTAACCCATGCCAGGTTTTTCAGACCCTGCCCATGAGAGGGAAGTGATGCCACTCAAACCAGCTCTTAACATTCTCTCTCTCTCTCTCTCTCTCTCTCTCTCTCTCTCTCTCT